AAGGAGGAGAAGGAGGAGAAGGAGGAGGAGGAAGAGGAGGGGGAGGAGGAGGAGGAGGAGGAGGACGAGAAGGAGGAGAAGGAGGAGAAGGAGGAGGAGGAGGAGGAGGAGGAGGAAACTTCTATTGTATTACCCTTGAAAAGTCTTCTAATCGTATGAAATTTGCAATAAAAAGGACTAAGAAGGTCGGCTTAATAAAGACTGCCACAGCATTGGCATCGCATCCTCAATGGGGCCAACTTCCCAAGTACTCCTACATGTCTAAATCCCCTCCAAGGTTCGGATAAATCCCCAACCACACACATTTCAGCTCTCGATATAAAATATGTTCTTGATTTGCTGAAATTAACCCAATTAGGCGCTCTTCCACAATGAATTAGTTATACACCTCCACCCAAAAGACTTCACAAATGCAAATACACGCCGACTCGAACTGTGATGACAGGTTTGGTGGAACCAACCTCCCCGAACTACAAGTGCCTCGCACAACTTCACCAAAAAACAGTTCACTTAAAGCCTAACACCTCATCTTTGCAGTTGCTGCATACTCCTAACAGTCAAATGATCGACCCTCAATACAAAAACACGATTGTATGCAAAAAATTTTAAAGTTTGTCTAACGCACATTGAAAATGATGAAAATCTAGCCAACTTAAATCATTTAAGCACACACACACACACAAGTGACACACACTCGTACAGGAGTGTTGTCACGATCGTCATCAACAGAATGAATGCAAATTAACTCGCGATCAAAGTAACTATAGAGGAGAGGATGAGGAGAATTGCAAATGAATCGGTGCAAATAGGATAGACTTATAGAATGATACAAATAAAGCAATACTTCAACCAACATTGGCAGGGGCATTTTTGTACAGCGCACAATATTATGCAAAAGGCATTTTGGTGCTAACCGGATTGAGGTCAAAGTTTAACCGAAAGACTGTGCTTTCGAACTTGACGGAGAGGGGAGAGGAAGACACTGCGTCATCATTCTCACCGGCACTGGAGGATCGCAGAAGTATCGATCCCCGAGGAGACGGTATTTGCACATAGTCAAACGATATCCACCACCGCCACCGCCACCTCCTCCTGGCAAGGATTCGGCGCCGAGAGAAAGAATTGCTCCACTGGGAAGACATCCACCATCACGACAGAACTGCAGAGCAACGGGTTGGGGAGTTCCAGGACCGTGAGTTAGGAAGAATTTGGCACGAATGTTACCCGAGACGTCGACACCAGGATGCTGTTGGTGATGAGCATCACCAGCGGTCAGAGGAATATTCCAAGATGCACGAGTCTGTTCGATGTTCCACGTGCCCAACGGACGACTCTGCATTCTAACCACGCCACCATCGACTAACAGATTCACGCGCAAGTCCTGACAACTATCATAATGCAGAGAAGAAGTAGGCTGGAGTGATTCACTAAATCCTTTGAAGTTAACGCTACAAAGCTGCTGACAGCATGGCAGTGGAAAAAGACGACAAAAACAATTTGCCAATTCAGGAGTCGACACAACCAGCATGATAACTTCATAATCCTCCTCACCTAGTCCACCGAAAGGAAGTGATCCCATTTTGGCGAGATTAAAGAGAAGCTAAATACCTGATTTCCGAGGCATTTGCTTCATAGTTGTCGGACAAAGACAGAGACGACGAGGAAGACCACTTGGGCCACTGAACAAAGTAGTCCAGTCGGAAGTCGGTGGTGCTCTTCTCACAACGCCAAAAAGTGCACATTGTAATTGGCGGTGGTAGACCCGTAGCCTCGACTGAATACTCCAACAAGCACAGGCGCATATACTCCTCCTCATTTTCGTCCCCAACTTTGCTCTGACTCTCGACAAGGTAGTGGTAGAGCAGATCCCCCGGAATCTTCACTCGATATTGTCCCATTCCCTCTCCACTCTCCAATCTGTAATGCAGAATCACATAGAACAGTGGCTAAATGATGCCTATTGGATTGCAAATTCGTTTATCATGCTAATGACCTTTATGGATCAGATCACCAACATCAACACTCCTACACGTTTGGGCACTGATATAATTTCAGTAATATAACTTCGGAAAAATTTTTGAAGTTCCAAACTAATAAATAAAAGTTATTTTATTCCCAAAGTCAGTCAAGGCGACAGAATCTTTCAACGTTTTTGGACATGCAAGGTGCAGAAAGTAAGGATTTCTGGGACCGCTAAGTAGTGCAGATGCCTCAAAGGGCAGTAGTGGTAGGGCAATGTCAGCACTTGTGTTTATTACTGTTTTTTTTTTAATTTTTCGGTTAATTAGCATGTCATAGGAGAGATATCTGCCTCAGATAACCGAATTATCAAGATGATATTGAATTCTTGGCAAGCCTTAAGGTGATGGATTTGCACAAGAGCCACTTATAGACCGATATCGAGTCTCATCGGATGGAAAAGGCAGAGCATTGTGTGACCTTGAAGACAGTTATTGCTACAAGAAGCAAAAGGAGTGCAAAAAAAAAAAAATGAAAACAACTCCAAGTCCCTAAACTCAGCTCGACAAACAACCTCATTTTAATATGGTTCAACCACAGAAATCGCAGCAAACACTTTTTCAAGCCTTCTCCACCTTGGGTAAATTAATTGTCAAACAGCCATGGCAATGGAAGAGAAGGAGGAGGAACAAGATCCTCCATTCCCTTCTCCTCGCCCCTTCAAAAAAAAACAGGAGAATTGTATAGCAGCCTAAAGTGTGCCTAGGGGGAAATTCCTTGGTACGAGGAAATTGGAGTATGTGAAAGTGACCGGCCGTCCGCGTGGAAAGCCTTTCACAGTCCTGGCCAGACAATACGCCCGTGCATCCGATCAAATGCAGTGAACCGATGTGGAAATGGGAACTAAAGCAAGGTACGAAACAAACCAGACTTCAAGTCCTGCTTAGTGGTTGCACACAAGTGAAGTGCAATGAGGTGCGTATTACCTCGCGACGGCCACAGAATAGCAGTCTTCAAAAGATCAGCTCCAAAATTCCACTGAAAAATGCTGACTTTTGGACAAAAAGAGGAATGAAAGCATAAAGTAGTAAGTAACGCATCAGAGAAACGCAACGAAATAGAACCGTTTGGCACGCTGGTTCTAAGTGCATCCAAAAGTAAAATATATATATATTAAAAAAGAAAACAAACAAGGGCCACGGTAGGACTAAAAAGGATAGTTTGATCAAGCCGAACGCGGGGGATCCGAAGTGGAGGTAAACACAATAAAGTAGAGCTGGAACGGTAAGAAGGTAGAGTGAGAGAAATGGCCAACCCTCTTCCTCGTTCCATTCATCTACTTCAATCCGCCTTATGAGTATATTCGTGCAGTGGCATGTGCAGTCTTTTGACAACGTCACCCTTTCCACGCCTTCACTGGTCGAATTGTTGTGTCTCGTATGGCATCACGCAAAACACTCCCACTCATAACGGCCATGGAGCCTCCGTTGGAGACCTCGCGGTCAACGATGCCACCACCCTCTCATCACATGCTCAAGCACTGCAAGCAAAGCTTTGTGAGGGTGATGTTGTGTGATGTGGTGTGGTGTGGTGTGGGGTGA